TACAAACTAAAAGCATCTTGCTATCAATTCGTTCATTGACTTTTTATATACAAAATATTTCTCTTTCTCTCTCTCTCTCTCCATCTTTCTCTTTCTCTCTCTTTTTCTCTTTCTCTCTTTCATTGTCGTAATATTCATCCTTCGAGTCTAAAAAAGATCGATAGTTTGAATTAACAGTAAAGTTCAAACTCGTTATTACGATTTCCTTTTGCTCTGATAAATATGGGAATAAATTTTCGTCAACGACGAGTTCTTGAAATTAATGCCAGTCGTGTAAATACATATAAACACACACACATACATACATACATACATACATACACACACACACACACACACAAAGAGAGGAAGAGACATCATGTATCATACTAAAAGCAAAATTTTGTTATTTTGTCGGACTTTTGCTGCTTCGATATCGTTTATATTCGAGACTGAAATTTATTTATTTGTTTATTTTTTATTTTATTTGTTCAGCTATTTGTTTATTTTATCTCTTTCGTACAACGTACTGATCTTTAATACGAATCTTAGGGGGAAAAAAAAAACAAAACAAAACAAAATTTACATTGTTAATACATTATTTTAATTAATTTTCAATTATAATCTATAACGATCATAACATTCTCGTTTCGTTAAATAATTTTCATTTTATTATCTATTGTCATTTTTTTAGTTACGATATTGATATAACTTTCTATTATGTCAATTCCTTACGATTTATCATTTATTTTAATTAATGAAAATCAAATTTATATGATTATAATAAAAATTATAATGATTACGTTGTAGTTTACGGTATTTATTACTGAAGAAAAGAAAAAAAAAAGAAAAAAGAAAAAGAAAAAAAAAAAAGAAAAAAGATTTTATTTATCCAAAAAAAAAAAAAAAAAATTATTAACGAAATCGATTTTATTATGTCGATGTTATTAAATTATTTAAACGAATAAATAATAAATTACAATTAAAAATGAGTGATTGTTTCATATCTTTATATTTCATTTCGGAGATAATTACCTTTGATAGATTTTCATTCATAAAATTCTTATAATATAACTGTTCGTAGTAAATAGCATTGTAATGGATGGTATAAGCTCGATCAGCTGATTCGCGTGAATTCTTGGAATTTATTTAGGTCAGTATGTTACCGAGTTAATTTGAATGAAATTAATATAAATCAATCGGTCAAAAGTAAATTTCTTTTATTTGCATCGGAATATCTCGAGATATAAAAGTCGTAGAGATTTCAAACGAATATCATTTTAAAGGACAAACTTTCATTATTCTTTAAGCCTATTGTTAATAATTAATTAACAAAATTTGTTATAGACAATTTTTTATAAGTAAATTTGAACGGGTTAAATTTCTTCTTTTGCAACGAAAAAAAAAAGAAAAAAGAATGCAAATTTCTGTCGACTTTTTAAAATTACATAAATTAATGAGTAATTAATAAATGATTTTTTTTTTTTTTTTTTTTTTTTTTTTTTTTTTTTTTTTTTTATCGAAAAAGCAATGTTTTTATAAGATCGTTTTTAATGAATATCTTCGGAGATAAAAGTCGTAAAATCAAATATCATTTTTTGAGGGACAAATTTTCATTATTTTTTAAGCTAATTGTTAATAATTAATTTACAATTCGTTATAAATAATTTTTTATAAACAAATTCGTACGAACTAAATTCATGTTATTTTGCAAAAAAAAAAAAAAAAAACAAAAGAATAGAGAAGACGAAAGGAAAAAAATATTCAAATTGCTGTCGATATATAAACTTACGTAAGTTAATAAATCTTTAATACTTTTTTTTTCTTAAAAAAAAAAAAAAATCGAATTGCATCGAACAATGCATTCGAAAACACATAATTACCATTTGAAAGAACGCGTATGTCGTCCTTCAGGTGTTTATCTGCAAAAAAAAAATTATTATGACTTCCTCCTTATCGTACTATTTTCGTTAACAACATTGCTAAATATTTCTAAACAATGTTAAGTATTGTCATAAATAACGAATGATAAAATTTGTTCGTATATATTAAAAAAAGGAAAAAGAAAGAAATAAAAGGAAAAAAAAAAATAAACAAAAAAAGAAACCAGAAAAAAGATTGTTATAACGTTAATGAGAATTGACGATAAAGATATCTTATCGCGAAAGTTATTATCAAGAGTGACAAGGATATAATCCGAGGGATCGATCATCTCGATCATATATAAAAAAAAAAACGAACAAATAAATAAATAAATAAATAAATAAATAAATAAATAAATAAATAAAAGAAAACGGAAAAGAAAATTGTGCAACGTTAATGAATTGACGATAAATGTATTTGCTTTTATTGCGAAAGTTATTATTTCGACAAAAAAAAATAAAAAAAAAAAAATAATAATAATAAAAGTAAAAATAGTAATAATAATTAAAAAAGAAAAAAGTAACAAAAAATCAAGTAACAATCCTATGAAACGAATCGAAATGGCAAAGAAGAAATTTTCACTTTTTTCACAAGAAATGTGCCAATGCACAAAAATTCGTGCCAATGCACAAAAATCCGTGCGGTGAAATTCTCTTTTTTTTTTTTCTTTTTCTTTTTTTTCTTCTTCTTCTTCTTCTTCTTCTTCTTCTTCTTCATCTGACAAGTATGCACGAGAGGAAGTCAGCAATCGTTTTGAGATTTTGTAGATATGTAAAGAATACAAGAGAAAGAGAATGAGATAAATATACATTTACATACATATACACACATACATGTATATATATATATATATATATATATATATATATATATATAAAGAGAAAGAGAGAGAGATAGAGATAATAAGAGGAAGAAGAACTGTAAAAGAGAGAAGCAATCGTGTATTATGGAAATTCTTTGGGATCTTTGTTCCAAAAGAAGAAGAAAGTGAAGGAAAAGAAGAAGAAGAAGAAGAAGAAGAAGAAGAAGAACATGGAGAAGAAGAAGAAGAAGAAGAAGAAGAACATGGAGAAGAAGAAGAAGAAGAAGAAGAAGAAAAAAGAAGAAAAAAAGAAGAAGAAAAAGAAGAAGAAGAAGGTGCCCGACGAATTATCGTTCTCGGCTTGCTGATATTCCACGTGAATTCCCACAAGGTATTCTCCATCTCGAGAAAAAGGTTTCTCAAAAAAGTCGGGGGGAAGGCTGTGGCTGCTGCTGCGTCACTCCTACGAGCGTAATATCGTCCGCATTACGCTTCAGACCACCACTACTCTCGTCGACCGACCCCCCACCCCTCCCCCACTCGTTCGCCATTCTCCTCCCTTCCACCATCTACCCCCTTCATCCTTCGTTCTCTTCAACCAAAACCTCACCACTCTTCTCCCTACCTATAAACCCTACCTACCTACCTACCCCCTACCCCCCCAACCCTCCCGTCTTTTGGAACTTTTGGAATCCCATGTAGAATCTGGCCGTGAGAAATCGAAGTCGAAGTAGTATCGTGCATCGCATTTTAATAAAGATCCATTTCAAACTTTTCTCTCCCCAGACATTATCCGTCCTTTTTTCATTCATTCATTCTTTCTTTCTTTCTTTCTATCTATCGTTCTTCCTTTTTTATTTAAAAAAATTTTTTTTTTTGGTTTGTTTTCTGTTTGTTGTTTTTCTTTCGTTGTTTTTTTTTTTTTTCGTTTTTTTTGAGGGGGAAGAGGAGGGAGTGGAATAGGTTTTGGGATAAGGTGGTAGAGGTTGAAGGTGAAAAACGAAAGGGTAGGTGAGACCTGTCTTTTTATCATTTTTTACTTCGTACCGGGAATTATTTTTTTCAAAATACGTTATACGTCCCGTTATAACTTCATGATTTATTATTATAGCTCGCTGGGAGGGTTGAGATAAATGCGACGATCTTGAAAGTTGTCGACGAAATATGTTCCGTCGGTGTTTCTTCTTTTTTTTTTTTATTTTTTTTTTGTTTGGTTTTTTGTTTTTTTGTTTTTTTTGTGTGTGTAATTATTACTATAATAATAATAATAATTATTATTATTATTAATTATTATTATTAATAATAAAAATAATTATTATTATTAATTATTATTATTAATAATTATTATTATTAATTATTATTAATAATAATAATAATAATTATTATTATTAATTATTATTATTATTAATAATTATTATTATAATTATTATTAATAATATATATTATAAAATATAAAATTATCTCTATAAAAGAATGAATTAATTAATGGATCGATAAATTATTGCAATATTTTCGTCTTTAAGCATAGCAATTTTTTTTTTTCTTTTGTTTTCATTTATTTTTCGTTTGAGCATATAATAGGAAGGAGACGAACTTTTATTTTTTTTTCCTCTCATTGATCGACGATTAAAAACATATACTATTATTTCATTTATTTCACGAATAACGAAATCATGATATTTTTGAATTGCGTAAAAAAAAAAAGGATTTTTGATTAATAAATCGTTGTAATATTTTTCTCTTTAAATATTGCATTCGTTTTTTTTTTTGTTTTTTTCGTTAAGTTTTGATAAGGCCAAGCAAAAAGAGCCGATTTTTTTGTTTTTTTTCTTTTTCTTCTTTTTGATCGAAGAATACAGAGCGTTTACTATTATTTCATTTTATTTTCTTTTTCCTTCTTTTTTCTTTTTTCCTTCTCTTTTTTTTTTTTATAATCGCAATTCATTTAAACATATAATGGAATCATGTATATTGATATTATATAAAAGTACGAATTAAATGATTGGATAAATCATCGCAATATTTTCGTCATCATCGAGAATATTGCCATTTTCTTTTTGTATAAAAAATATCGCCATTTTCTTTCTGTATAAAAAATATCGCCATTTTCTTTCTGTATAAAAAATATCGCCATTTTCTTTCTGTATAAAAAATATCGCCATTTTCTTTCTGTATAAAAAATATCGCCATTTTCTTTCTGTATAAGAAATATCGCCATTTTCTTTCTGTATAAAAAATACCGCCATTTTCTTTCTGTATAAGAAATATCGCCAATGAATTGTTCCTTTTGTTTTAGATATTACGAAATTGTACGAGACGTTAGGCCAAACAAAGGAACTATCCTGAAATCATCGGTGGAGTATATAAAATTATTGAAGAACGAATTGACGAGGATGAAACAGAACGAGCTGAGGCATAAACAATTAGAGCATCAAAATCGTCGTTTACTATTACGCGTTCAGGAATTGGAACTTCAAGCGAAGGCTCATGGACTTCCGGTATCCGATTTTAATTGGGCATCGACTTCCGGCAGCATACTAAACACCTTTCCGAGGAGTAAGCTCGAGCAACGAAAGGTACACGTGAGTGTGGGACCCTTTCTTTGTTGATTCATATTTTTCTTTCGTTTTAAGATATAAATAATGTAAATTTATAATAAGAACGATTAAATCCTTCGTATTTACGATTGATGGAAGACAAATTTTGTTTTCTTTTTTTTTTTTTTTTTTTTTTTCACTTTTCTTATTTCACTTGATACACGATACATTGATTATGTTTCGTTATGCTTCTTTTAAATCTTTTATTAGATTTAATTTTATAATATGTTATTAGAATGATTATTATTGCGTATTTACGAATGATAAAAACTTTTTTTTTCTTCCTTTTTTTTTTTTTTTTTTTTTTTTTTTTGAGGAATTAATCGTTGATTAGAAATTATTATTTTTAACATTTCATTAAATAATTATCGTCGATTTATAATTATTTGATTTATAACTATTTGTCGATGTATAATTATTTGTAAAAAAAAAAGGAAGAAAAAAAGAAAAGCAATTTTTTTCCCGAGTGAAATGATAGCTTTTGTTTCGCGTATATTTTCAGTCTAAAGAGGGTGAAAAAGCACCCCTAAGTTTTCTTTCTTATTAAATAGACAAAGATATAAAAGAGATCGATTAGAAAATGTTATTATTCCTACTGTGTTATTAAAATGTTTAAGAAAAAGGAATAAATTGTTTTTCTTTTTCTTTTTTCTTTTTTTTTAATTTTCTTCTTTCTTTTTTTTTATGATCGTAAAAAATTATCCACGAAACAGTTAAAAAAAAAAATGTAAAAAGAAAAAAAAAAAAAAAGAATTGTCAAACATCTCTGAATATTTTCTTATTTAAATAGAATATTTCTTTCTATCTTTTTTTCTTCGTTATTTCTTTTTTAAAATGGTATCTTTATGTTTTGTTAATACATGAAATATTAAAAATATTTAATAGAAAAGCAATACATTTTTGAATAATAACGTCGTATATTTTATTTCTTTTCATCTAATTATACGTAATTTTTTTGTTTTTTTTTTTTGAGTCGTAGGAGGGGGGTGGGGGAGGGAAGAAAAGAAAAGATAAACAAAAAAAAAATAAAAACGAAAGATCTATAAATTAGTTAAATATTAAAATGATATTTACAAAATTCACATACACACACGTGCGCGCACGCACACGCACACGCACACGTATCGCAGGCACACACGTATATATTATATTTCTCTCAAAAATTACAATCAATTAAAATTGATTGCTATTACTCGTTAATAGCACGTGTATCATTAATTTTCTTTTCCCTTTTTTTTCCCTTTTTTTTCTCTAATTTTTTTTTTTGTCTTCTTTTGTTCCTTTTTTTTTCTATTCCGTATCATAGTAATTATCGTTATTAATGGCGGACGAATGGGAACGTCTATTTTAAACTCGGAACAGCTGATAGTACAAAAACGAATTCTGGCTGGCACTTTTATTGTTATTATTATTATAGTAGTAGTAGTAGTAGTAGTAGTAGTAGTAATAGTAATAGTAGTCAGGCAATATAATATGAACGCGTAATGATCGATTCGTGGATCCTTGATCCGAATAAACGTCTGTCATTTTTAATCGAGTCGGTTTCATAATTTCCATCTGCTCTTACGTGATCTATCACGTCGAATCGTTACTTGTCAGCTCCATTGAAAGCGAATTTTAGTTGAATGTTACGTAAGATATAACTTTCCTACTCAAGTCAAGTATACATGTATATATTTATGTATGTATTCATGCATATATATATGTATATATGTTTACAATGATTAATTTTACTTTCCACTTGAAAAGAGTTCGACATTCACAGAAGAATTTAATATAAAACAAAAAAAAAAAATAAAATAAACCGCAAATGATGAAAAAAAAAAAAATATATATATGTATATATAATGTACGTACGTGTGTGCGTGCATGCGTGCGTATGTGTGTGTGTATGTGTGTGTGTGTGTGTGTGTGTGTGTGTAAGTATGTGTAAAAATATTATCAGGTTAATTTTGTAGATTCTGTTATGTTATCTCTTATATTGAAAATATTGACTTTGAAATATAAATACAATATGTTAAAATAACGTGTCATTAATCTTTTTCCAAATACAATATTTCGTCAATGAAGTTACAATGTTATCACGTAATCACACTTACATATACATTATGTATGTATATTAAGTGTGTAGATTTTGTTTGCATGTGTATGTGTATGTATGTATGTATGTATGTATGTATGTATGTATGTATGTATGTGTGTGTGTATGTATGTATGTTTCTCTTGAATTTATAAATGAAACAGTACGCCTTATTAACATGTAATTAGGTTATCGGTTCTCATTTGGAATGTTTCGCTTTTATAGAACTAATGATCTAGTTCTTGGATAGTATAGAAGGTCAAAGAAAAAAAAAAAAAAAAGAAAACAAAAAAAGAAAAGAACAAATTTCTAACATCTTACGAATACGAGTTAAAAATATTATCCTGGCAGACAATCGAGCATTTGTTAAATATTATGGCAAATAAATTTAATATTCTTTGATATATAATATAATTTCAGTATGGTAATTATATTATTTATTTATTTACGTATTTATTATAATATTACTAAATATATAATATAATTATATTGTGGAATATATAAATGTTTAATTTACTCTATGAATCATCATTATTTATCATATGATATCAGTGATATATATAATAATTTATATATTATAGAGTATATTTATACTCTTTTAAAGTATAATATAATAATAATAAATAATAATAAAAATAATAATAATAATCATAATACACATGTGTGTGTGTGTGTGTGTGTGTGTTTATATACATGCATGTTTGTATTATATTTGCAATAACCCATAGTATTATTTTTAATACTAGTAATACTACTAATAATAATATTATAATAATACAAATATTATTTATAATATTATATAAATATACTTTAGTATACTATATATTAAAAATAATAAGTACTGTACTGTACTGTGTATGAATGTGTATGTACATTAAAAGTATAATATAATTATATTATTATTGTATAAGTATACTAAAAATAATAATATACTTATAATTAATTAATATTATAATTATATTATTATATACGTATACACACGCATTGTATTTATATTATAATATTATAATTTACTATAGTGTATTATATACTATGCCATATAGTAAACTATAAATATTATATATTAAAATTAATAATATACTTATAGTATAGTATAGTAAATGTTTTAATATTATACAATATTAAATCACAGTATATGTTACAATTATTATATTTATTTTACACGCATACACTATACTAATACACACACATACACGCGCGCGCGCGCACGCTTACACGTACACATATATATATGGTAGATAAATTAAAGATTCAATTACTATAGAAACTCGATAATAAATTAACTTTTATCTTTATCTTTCTCTTCCAAAATTACTTCCATAAGTAAATCTTAAAGATTATCTTTTATCTTTTCAATCGATATTAATGTTACGGGTTGAAGGTCTATCATAAATTTCTCCTGAATAACTACATGTCTCTCTCTCTCTCTCTCTCTTTCTCTCTCTCTCTCTCTCTCTCTCTCTTTCTTCTTCTCTCTTTCTCTAGTTAAAGTATGCCAAGCCATCTTTAAGATGTTTGACGACGAGTATGATATCTCATTGGAGACTTTACCAAAACTTAACATTTGAATTATTGTCCTAGAGATAAGGTCGGTCACGTACATACGGACGAGCGTTTTCGTGATATGATTAGAAACTCTAACTCTAAAGATGATAAAGTAACGAAATTGACCATAGATTATGATTTTACTATTACTAATACTACTATCGATGATGACAATTATTATTATTATTATGTCGATTTTAGGATATATATATATATATATATTTTTCGATTAAATCGCAATATTTTTCTTTTTTTCCTCTTTCTTTCTCCTCTTCTCCACCCCCCCCCCCCGCCCCTGCTCTCCCAATCCCTTTTCTCTCCTTCGCACAATTTCAAATACAAAAATATTTTCCATATCATTATATTCGTACGACAAATAATCGATATATGTTAGTCTCGTGTTTATATGTATACATTTTTTTTTTTTTTATTTTTTATATTCATTTTTTTATAATGATTGTCTTTGGAACAAAAACAAAAAAAAACAACAAAAAAGAAATTAAGGATTAATGAAAAACAAATAATGAAAATAAAACATAAGATCGGCAAGAAATTTCATTTAGAATGGACTTTTGCGAGAGCGGGCGTGCAGCAGCCGGGTGTGTTCTACTGGTGAGGGTAGGTGAGTGAGGGGGGCAGGAGGAGGACGTGGATGGGGAGAGGAGGAGGGACGGGATAGCGTTGAAACGAATCCTTACGAGATAAGCCAAGCGGAAATGTGATAGGTATCTTTGGCAATGCGATTCCGCAGCGGCGGAATGTTCGTTCGCATTATCTCTCTTGACGTTATAATAATTACATTACTCGATCATTGCTACGTGGTTCTACGCGCGATCGTTTTAAAAGCTTTCTTGGAATGCAGATCGTGAATTTCGTAATTTTACGAATTACAAAATGTATTCGATAAACACGTTTCATTGATGTGAATTTGAAAAATGATATTAGAATTGAGAATAATATTAACGAAGATATGTATTATAGTTTGTGTATTATTTGTAATTAATGTTTAATTTAACGTTTAGATAATTGATATGTTTAGAAATATATTATAATTATTGAATGATAATAATAATGAATGATGTTGACAATAATTGATGACAATGATGATAATGATAATGAGAAATATGAAATTTTTAAGAGAATTGAAATTATATTTCGAAATTAATTGTTAAATGGATATGAATGAGAAAATGTAATATTGTGCATACGTTGTAATAATTTGCAATTATTAGAAATTTATCATTAGAAATTTTTAAATAACAATGAAATTAATAATCTATTAGGTGTTTGAAATTACAAATGGTAAATTAAAATGTTAAAATGTATTAGAAATATATAAGAAAAATTTGGAAACAATTTACTATAGATTATAATATCGCTTTAACAATACGAAAATTATTAAGTATTCTTTTAATTATTAAATTAAATAGAATTTCTGGAAATTTAAAAACAATTGAAATTGTATATATATTAAAAATTTGTAATATTTGAAAGTGTTAAATTAAGTAATATTAACTATTATTATAATTTCTTGGATTGAATTGTTTGAAATAATATTGAAATATAATTTCGATAAATCATGTTTTAATTCGGTTAATAAATTGAACTAGGTGATCATTTTAAATTAGTATTTTCTTTTTTAAATATACATTAAAAGTATTATTAATAGTTCGAAATTTTTGAAAAAAGTTGAACAACCATTACTTATATACAAAGAAAAAAAAAACAAATACGTAACATAAAAGTGTTACAATATGTTAGAAATTTATTAAAAAAAAAAAAAATAAAAAAAAAAATAAAAAAAAAATAAAAAAAAATAAATAAAAGAAAAAGCAAAACAAATAACTATAATTGACTAACTTGTTATGCGAAATAATGTAAATGAAATTTAGAAAAAAAAAACCTTTCCGTGTCATGTAATTAATACCAAATAATTATATATATTAATTTAATAATGCCGAAATTTTGCAAAATATTAAATATTAAATATTATTAATATTAACATTAAATATTATATATATATATATTTTAATTCATGATAATATTTTAATATTAAAATATTATTATTAATTTCAATATTAATATTGTATATAAGAAAAAATAATAAAAGAAAAGAAAAATTAAACGCGCACGTATAAATTACGTGTTAAATGTTGAATAATATAAGAAAAAAAAAAAAAAAAAAAGAAAATACGTTACATATTTAGATAAAAATTAAACAAATAAACAAGCTGATTTTCCTTAAGTCATATCGTATATCGAAATATCAAGAAAAAGTTATATATATATATATATATATATATATATATATATATATGTGTAAATAAAATGAGAAGTCATTTATCTTATCGGATTGATCATTTATTTTTTCTTCTTTATTTGTTTTTTTTTTTTTTTTTTTTTTTTTTTTTACTTTCTCTTCCTGCTTTCTTTTTTTTTTTACATGATAAAGCTCTTGTCTAATTCGTCAGTGTTGAAAAGTGGAAGACGTGTCAAAGTTAGCGCTAGATAAGACTGGCACAATGCATTAAAAGCAACGAAGGGTGGCCGGGAGTTAAGTTTGAATTATTACGCGAGATAAAGTTCGCACCATATTGTAAGTCTACTTACTTTCGTAGCGGCCTCCACCTACGCTGTAGTAAGTTAGAAATTTAAACATTGATAACGTTTCGACTATGTGTACTTTTCAAGTTATATGTCCAGGACAACGACGAAGTTTCCTTTTCGTGCATGTTAAGTTTTCTCGTGACTTTCATATTAAAAAAAAAAAAAAGAAAGAAAAAAAGAAAAAAGAAGAACGTGTCGGCTTGTAACGCGTTCATTATAAATTTTATATTTACTTTTAAAAAAAACAAGAGAGTAAAAAAAAAGCAGGTATCTGATTACCTTCTTTAAATACTGATAACATTATTATCTTATTTTATAAAGGAATATGAAATATAATGACATGGATTATTATATCAATATATTAATTATTATATATATATATATATTTTTTTTATATGATTAATATATCAATGATATTTATGATTAATTTTTTTTAATATTGATGACATTAATAATAATAATAATAATAATAATAATAATAATAATAATAATAATAATAATAATAATAATAATAATAATATCAATATTTACAATTAATAAATATATTTACTAAACTACAATTTTACAACATATGACAAATAATATAGTATTACATATAATACTATACTATGTACAATATATTAAGTATTATAGTATAATATAATATATTACAAAAATATTATATACGAATATATATATATATATATTTATTAATATTCACAAAAAAATATATATATATTCTATATCGAATACAATATAATATAATAATATAAAATCATTCCGAATTATTAATAACAATAAATATTACAAATTAATGATATTACAATGACTATTATTTGTTATCGATCATATATAATAACTTAGAGATCATTTATAATTTAGATCGAATAATAAATTCGATAATAGATCAAACGAATTTTCATCGGTCACAAATATTATACGCATGGCGTATATAATTTATGATTGAAGGAAAATAAAAAAAAAAAAAGATAACAAGGCAAAAAAGAAAGAAAGAAAGAAAGAAAGAAAAAGAAAGGAAAGAAAGAAAGAAGGAAGGAAAAATAATAAAATTTGTTCTCTGTTAACAGATTCCAGATCTCGTAGCGGAGGAAACGACAACGCCATTGAGTATGTCTCAATTCGAGGATCTCATGGAGGACGACACGAGTGGTCCAGTTCATGGTGGTGATCCGATGTTGTCGTCACCACATTTACCACCATTGAGTCCACCAGCAGCAGCTTGTCATCATGGTTTACCAGACGAAGACACGTTAGGTAGTTTGACGGCAACCACTTCGAATTCTTCATCGGACATGGACATAGTCGCGTAGCCAAGAAGAAATGCCACCACGTTATCCTTTCGATCTCAAGCTCGTATTCGTTTCAACGTCCTCTCGTTTTCATCGATGGATGAACATCGAAACGTTCGTCCTCCTCCTCGTCCTTTTCCTCGTCCTCCTCTTCGTCCACCTCCTCCTCCTCCTCCACCTCCACCTCCACCTCCACCTCCTCTTCTTTCACATCCTCGTCCTGGTCCTCATCCTCGTCGCCTTCTTATCGGATTCCAATGTCGTTCATGTGACGATCAGAGAAAAAAGTTTCAAGAGAGAAACGAGATGAGAAAAAGAAGAAGAAGAAGAAGAAGAAGAAGAAAAAGAAAGGAAAAAAGGATTTGTCGTTGGTTCGTACGAGCCCAAAATAATAGAACGAAGAAAAGGAACAGGGGAAAGGGGGAGAAAAGAGAAAAGAAAAAGAACAATGAAGTAATTTGGAAAAAAAAAGGAAAGAAAAAGAGAACGGTGATTTATTGTAATGTTTTATCAAAAAGGAAGATATATATATATATATGTATGAATTGAATCAAAAAATTTGCTTGTCTATTTCTTCGGTCAGTATTTTTCTTTTCTTTTTTATTTGATTGATTGATTGATTGATTGATTGATTGATTGATTAATTAATTGATTGATTGATTGATTAATTAATTAATTAATTAATTAATGGTAAGTATTATGTAAAATAAATGGTCGGTATATACATATGTATTTATATATATATATATATATATATATATATATATATATTATGTATGTATGTATATATGTATATAAAATATTTTCAATGGCCAATATAAAAATAATTCAGTGTCAAGATTGCGTCTGGATCGCCTCAGAGAATAGATTGATTTCAATATTCACGGTATATTTAAGCGTATCGATATTATATTACAAATGCTCTAAATATTTATCTCAAATATCTATTTTGATATAATGTCCGAAATAAATAATTGATGATCCAATAAATAACGATCGATCGAGAATAGAATAGAATAGAATTTCTTTTGAAGACATTTGATTTCTTCGCGGGAACGAAGAGAGATCCTTCTCACATACCTTTTATTTAAAGAAAAAAAAAAAAAAAAAAAAAAATCAACCGGATAATGCCTCGTTATATACATTGAGAAAGTTGACATAAAAAAAAAAGAAGAAAGAAAAAGAAAAGAAAAGAAGGAAGAAAGAAAGGAAAAGAAAAGGAAAGAAAAAAAAATGTCTTCCGTCAGAAACGAGATTTTTGATGGCAAATGAAAAATGGATCGCTTATTTCTTATATCTTTTTCATTCTTCCTTTCATTTCATTCTTTCTTTCGTACGAAAGAAAGGCGGCTGGGCCGTTTTTTTTTTTTTTTTTTTTTTTTTCCTTTTCCCTTGTGCATTCAATCCGTGACGATAAAAACATTTCGTTTGTTCTCTTATTCTTCTTCTTCTTCTTCTTCTTCTTCATAATAAATAGTTGTTGTTCTTATTGTTCTTGTTGTTGTTGTTGTTGTTATTGTTCTTGTTGTTGTTGTTGTTGTTGTTGTTCCTTGTTCTAGTTCTTGTGTTGTATTGTGTGCCGTCGTGTTTTTAAAGTCGATTACGCGACGAATAAGAAAGAGACCTACTTTACCGATAATATATTATCATCGGGGGGCCCATATGGGCCCGGATCATTTTCGATCGAGGAATCGAAGTCGTTTTTTTCTTTCTTTTTTTTTCTTTTTCTTTCGTCTTTCTCTTGTCGACAATCGGTAATATACGAGACAATCACTCTTCCCCTCCCCCCTTCCATCCATCCATCCCGTTAACGAGGCGGCGATCTTTTTATTATTAATTTTGGATTCTTTTATTCTTCTTCTTCTTCTTCTTTTTTTTTTTTTGTTCTTCCTTTCTCATCTTCATTTTTTTTTTTCTTTTTTTTTTTTTCGTTCGAGAAGATCTTTGTTATTAGTTTTTAAGATACGCGCCAATTTGAGATCCAATCGTCGATCTCGAGAAACGATGATCCTTTTCTTCGATCTTCTTCTTTCTTCATTATGCTTTTTGATTTTATTAGAAATCTTTCTTTTTTCTCTTTTTCTATTTTTCTTTTCTTTTTTTATTCTATTTTTTTTTTTTTTTTTTAATTCATGGAACATTCGCGAGTTTATTTCTGTTTCTCTGTACTTTCTTATGTTCCTTTCTTTTTTTTTTTCTTATCCTTTTAGAAGAATAATAAATCAACAATTTATATCGATCAATATTATGCACAATTATTATTTTAGTTTCTATATATATAATATATATTTATATATATATATATATATATATATATATATATATATATATACATGTATTTGTTCCTTCTTTTCATTTTTATTTTTATTCTTATTCTTATTCTTATTCTTATTCTTATTTTTATTCTAATTTTTGAGAAAGAAAGCTAGATAATAAGAGAGAGAGAGAGAGAGAGAGGGAGAGAGAGAGAGAGAGAGAGAAGAGAAACTTTGTTTTAATGTAACAATACTGAGCAACGGCGTTTACTCGACAAGTTTTGTTAGAATCTACAACAATAACAATAATATTGTTTAATAATTATATCACGAGGTTCATTGAAATAACATCGTCGTCCCATAAGCCTTCTCGACTTTACGATGTGGAAAATCTTTAGCTCGTCGTTATGTTTTAAAATTATTCAGAAGGAAAAAGAATTACATTTGAATTTATTACTATAACTATATAAATATGATCTATTCGATTTTCAAAGATCGCACGATATATGATTATAATTAATATTTTTTGATATTGATTGAAATTTAATTAAAAAAGCAATCGAACATTTTGATGAAATCATTCGATGTCACATTCATTTTATCTGAACAATTATGTATTTCTTTTTTTTTTTTTTTTTTTTTTCGAATTTTAATCGAATCTAATGATGGAAATTTTCTTGGGCAAAGATTTGTTAATTTTGAAAGATTTCGTTAAAATTAACAAAAAAAAAAAGAAAAAAAAAAGAAAGAAAAAAAAATTCTTTAAAAAATAAAAGGAACGAAGAAGATAAGGAAAAACAAAAGTTTTCACTTACAAGGATCAGAAATTGACGATCGAGGGATAATATCATAATGATCGATTATTGGAATTGATCGATTATTTGGAAAAAATTCAAATCATTACAAATTCTAATTTCTTGTAGGATATTTTTATTTATTTATTTCTTTTCTTGTTTTTTTTTTTTTATCTATTCGTTTGATCAAACGATCCCATCATGATCGCTATTAATATTCTTTGGCATTAATGGAAATTTAATTAACAACAATCGAAATATTTTAGAAAATATTATTTGACGTCACACATACGTTTTTTTTATCCGATCGTTCGTATAATCATATCGATCGTAATAAAGATTAATAATATTATTCGATAAAATCAATCGTATCGTTTATGGATCGACATTAAATTGGGAAAGATTGTTCCTGTCCTTTTTATTTTATTTTTTTTTTTTTTTCTTTTTCAACTAAAATTTAAAGAAAACGAGAAAAGCAGAAGAAAAGTATATAAGGAAAAAAAAACAAAAACAAAAAAGAAAAAAAAAAGAAAGAAAAGAAAAGATATTGTCGATCGAAAAGAAATTTCCTTCGATCCGTCAATGTGATCCATTTACGATGATCGTTTTCGCATATAATCGAAATCTATTAACAAAATTAATATAAATAATAAAAATAATACTTTTCCAATATCGATCGACAATCGGTATTGAAATTCAATTAGCAAATGGGACTTGTTAATCAAAACTAAAAGAGAAAAAAAAAGAAGAAGGAAAAAAAAAAGAAGAAAGAAAGCAAAAAGGCAAAAAAAAAAGAAGTAATTGCAAATAAATTTATAAAATAATATAAAAAGAATTTAATGAAGAGCGAGAAATAAAAAAAATGAAAATTGATTGAAAAGTATTTCACGTGATAGAGATATCGTTTATGATATGATCGAATTTAATGTAATCCCATACAGGATGATAAAATATATATGTATATATATATATATATATATATAGAGAGAGAGAGAGAGAGAGAGAAATACCATAAGGTAACATGTGTGAGACTTGATTCTGTCGATTCTGTCATAGTTTACATTAGCTTCTGCCAGGTAAACCACTCACACTGAAGTTCGTTACGAAGTTTGCTAATAGTTATTGTCTTCGGGTCGACGTTCAATCCGTGGTACGCATGCCGAATGAGTTTGGCTCAGGTTAAGGGTTCGAAGGGTGATGGCTCTACGACAGACTAAGACTGAGAGAGAAAGAGAGAGAGAGAGAGAAAGAGAGAGAGAGAGAGAGAGAGAGAGAGAGAGAGAGAGAGAGAGAGAGAGAAAGAGCCCGATTTCCGTCAGGATTTCACTACCTTTGTGTTCGACGAGCCGTCTAACCTAAATTGCACCCATCGCCTTGGGCCAACGCGGACTTGTCTTTATCTTTCCTAGGCTTTGTAGAAACACGACGAACGTTATCGCAAAATAATCTGATGAATAAAACAATTATCGATTTGAAATAAAAATCGTGCAAAAATTTATGTCATATATATATATGTATATATATATTGGATAACAAATGAATTGGATTAAATTTAATTAAAAAAAAGAAGAAAAAAAAGAAAAAAAAAATTAGAAAATTAAAAAGTACAGAAAATATTTTATCTGGATGACTTTATGGGGGTGGGAGAAGGAAGAGGGGGAAGAGGGAGGGAATGATTATAATATATAATACAATGATAATTTTATTAATTTTTATCTCTGTCTTATTAATTTATTTTCGATTTATGATTTAATGAAAAAAAAAGAAACAAAAAAAAAAAATTACAGAAAAAAAATACGGATATATTGTGGATCACTTTATTAAATAAATTCTTATTCAATGTATTTATATATATGAGATATTAAATTTAATATTTTATACGTTACTTTTTTTATTACTTCTTTTTTGTTATACTAATATTGCATGCCTTATTATATTATCTTTTTTATATTATAATGAATAATATAAAAAATATATAATACAAATGTTATAACGAACAGATAATAAATGATAAAAATAAATAATAATAATAATAATAATAATAATAATAATAATAATAATAATAATAAGAATAATAATAATAATTCAATGAAACGTAATAATATAATACATTACATTTTATATTTAAAAAAAGATATAAGAAATCTTTAATTTCGTAAAAAAAAAAAAAAAAAATAGAAGAAAAAGAAAGGAGAAAGTCATCCAGGATTCGTTGTTTCTCGATCGATAAAAGAAAAGATAAATAAACAAATAAATAAATAATTCTAATTTGCCAAAAATTATATATTAACTTATATATATAAAAAAAAAAAGAAAAAAAAAGATATAAGTAAATTAATCTCGATCAAGTGATTATTATCGATATCTATATTTGAGTACGTTTCAAGATCGTAATTTTGTTGTAT